TTCTTGACGAGAAAATTCTTGTGTTTCGCAAAAATGAAGACATACAAGAAAAATTATATACAGAGTGTTTGACAACACTTCACGTAAAATTCTCGAAATATTTCGAGTGTTAAAAATTATTGAGCTTTGTAGTAAAGAAGACATATAGGAGATCATATATACAGGGTCAAAACAATTTGTTTGTCCGTAATAGAACAGAAAAAAATGTCTGACAAATAATTACATTATAAAATGTACATCTTTTCTGTGATTCTCGATTCATATCCAAATATTTTCCATTCAGTCAATGAATACGAACTTCACATATGAACTCAAAAAGAGTCCTAACTGGTTTTGGATTTGAAAACATATCGTGGCTGGTGACAGTCAGAAGAAGCATCATTTTAGCATTTCAGCTGTATGCAGCATACTCGACTTATCCACCATAATGCTCATAAAAATGTTATTTAGAAACAAGTTCAGCATCATAATTCGAAACGCATAGTGGAAGGGGCATACATATAATAGTCTTTTGGGAAATATTCCCATATATACCAAGAAAAATGAATGATCGGAAAAGGATATTCAGATTAGCATGAATAACAGAAAGAGCCAAAAGTCCAAGAATGCATTCTTCATTTCAACAACCACAGTGAACGACCACGAGGCAAGAATACTACTCCGAGAGACTGCTACAAGAAACGAAATTCAACCAAAGAGAAGACTGCATTAAGTCAATAATTGAGTTTCACAGACGCAGTCCGGCTGTCGTTATTTCGACGAGTAGAGGCAAATAACTCGACAGAAAAGGATAGTTGGAGAAGTACACGACATAAACAAAGATAACGTTTCCCCTTCCTTTGTCCTTTATGGTTGACGAAGAGAATAAACTTTAGTTGGTGTTGTAAACTTGCCGTTACGAAGTGTTGATCTCAAAAATGCAAGGAAAATAGTGAACTCTGGCCTAATTAAGTGTTCAATTTTAATCGCTTGTGATACTAGTGATAAGTGTGCGTCGATACTGTCGCAGAATTTTTATCTCAACTACTTTTTACGACAATAAAGAATAAATCAGAGGTAATTAGTGTCAATTTCGCATTTGTTTGAACAAATTAGTTTTTAACTAATAGTACATTATCGAGTCATTTACTGTAGATTACCATATGTTTAACATGTTTCAATTAATTCTTAAACATATGAGAAATTGAGTGTGAATAGGTAAATAGAAATAAAAAGCAAGAGAAGCAAGTGGTTGGCAAATCAGTCGCAGAAAACTAATGATTTATGCAATTCTCTGTAGCTGTACACGTTGATTTCTACAACATACTTTCAAATCAATTATGTTAAATCAAATGTAGTACAGACACCATTGAGAGAACCGGCTTTTTATATCAATAATACTATTATGATAAATAATTCTAGACAAAAGATTGAAACGCTATGAAATTAAACAAAGCTTTGATGATTCAGAACACTAAAAGAGAAAGATAAAGGATTTTATGATTTGAAAAGTTTACCTGGGTGGAGAAAAGTGTGCATTATGAAGGCTCTAAGCAATAAAAACGAGTTTAGAAGATAATTTAACGAGGTATCGTTTATCATCTTTACTTATGAAGTAGAATTTAATTTTTTTCAACAGATTCGGGTAGATACAAAATATAAGTAAATGAAAAGATATCGCTAATGGAAATCAATAAATAGAAAAGGAAAAAATATAACTACACTTCTAGATCTCAATCTGTCAAGTGGGGCCGCTCCTGCAAGCAGTACCAACTCTGAATTTGAAATTGTCTTTCAAGCCGTATTTTATTTGAATTTTGTACTCCGGGTCTGGCTCTGAGTGTAAGTTTGTCGACCCGATCCGAAGGCAAGCGTCGTAAATCCTTCGAGCGAGTAATGACCATTTCTCGAAAGTAGAATGCTATACTTTTTCTATGACTCATATCCGAAATATTTTAAAATGAGATTCGTTTGTGTGATTGTTATAGTGAGAGGTTAGGAAAAAACTTCAGTGTGATTTAAGTACTTGACATTTCAAAAAAAAATCATTAAAATCGGTTTACAACTTCAAATTTTAGGGGGGTGTTTCCATTAAAAATGGGTCACACTGTAGGTCGCATTTCGAGGAAAATTCTAACTGGAAACGAGTGGTGTTGACATTTTATTTGATTAATTCATTTATTCATTATTAGAACTTTAAAGTGAAGTAATTCAGGTGAAACTTGGAATTTTATTTCATTGCAATTTTTGCTCTTTTGACTTATATCAGCTCCGTCAAACTCAAGCTTTTTTCCTTTCAAATAAATATTATTTTGAAATGATTAAATATGCATCATTAGAAAAAAATCGCTGACAATTGTAGACAGATAAATTTGAGTTGAACTTTTCATACATCGCAAATGTTCGAAAATGTGTCTCGTTACCCTCTTCCAATTTTGAATTCAACATTACATTTAACCCATTCTACACCTTAAAGGGTAACCAGCGCAAAATATACAAAATCTACTTTTCAAATTAGAAAATTTAATTTCTAACGTTCATTCTTCAAATATATGTTCAACTGTTTACACTACTTATACTCGCTTCATATGCATTTTAAATTACAAAAATCAAATATTTTATTCATACGAACTCGTTTTTTGCCCGTATGGTACACTCTCTGATTGGTTGTTCTAACCGAAATAGTGTAGTTAAATCTGCTCAGTTTACATAAAAATCTAAAATTTCAAATGTATGGGACGTTTGTCGATTCACATCAATAGATTGGTGGATAATATATCATATTGAGGAATAAATCTCGTCAGAGTTAGCCCAAAAATCACAAATAAAATAATGAAAATGAATGCCTCTACCCATGATTATAATTATATAATTTTTGCTCTATAATTTAATTTGGGACGCGTTTCACTATACGGTTGATTCCTCAGGTGAACTGCCGTGAAATGAAACAATCTTGAATCAAATTCATAGTGTGAAAATTGGGAAATCATGGACACCAAAAATTACATTTCCTTTAATGTTTTAATAATATGATAATAGCTGATAATAATATATAACATGATAATAGCACAAGGGGTTTTTGTAATGATGTTCGTCAGCCTGGAGTTTCAACATCCTTTTTGCCAAATATTGTATTAATTGCATTCATCTTCAATATATTGAATATTGCAATAATACTGGATGAGTATTGTTTAAGAGTAATCAATCCGAAACGGTAGAATATTATTTAAGTGCTAAGTTTCACGAGGAAATAAGTACCAAGCCAAAAACAAAAAATAATTTTATGGAATATGAAACTTGTATATTGTGATTAGGTTTGACCGACCGACCTTGTAATTAGAAAGGTTTTGACGTTAGGCGATACCCCCCATTGGGTGAATTTCCCGTCTACGTGAAGCAGCGATGGCTTTTCTAAGAATATGAAAAAGTTAGATTCGAAAAATCAGTCACGTTGATAATACAGAGGAAAATTAATTTTAACTCTTACATGTGTCACCTTTATGTATGTATATCTTGGTTTGTGGTCTAGTGTAAAGTATCTGAAACAACATCATGGAATTTCCATTCATTATCAATCTGTAATTTATATTTACGCTATTAGAAAATATACTGCTCCTCCAGCTTAGATTTCATAATGGACGTTTTGTATATGATAAAAAAATAGTTACATCAATAATTTTTCCTGTTAATGAGTTCCTGTTAATGAGTTATAGGTACTTTGAAATATGTATTAATGACTTTGATTGAAAACTGAGGCCCACAGATGAACATTTAATTATAATGAGTTCCTAGTCTCGACACATCGCGAAATGAATTGATATTTTTAGTGAACAATTGACCAGAAAAATCCATCCAACATGTAAGAAAATGGAACATGTTAGATATCTACTGGCCCGTATCATATTAATTTTCGGAGTTCATTCATAAAATGTCATGTTTAGATTTTTGACAAAATCGGCAGTAATAGCACAAGGGCAGTGGTAATTACACGGAAGTTCCGCAACAGTTTTCTAAAGCACTCTGCTTGGTACCGGGTCTGTTAAATTTACTAGTTGATACCATATAAAACCTCCCACATAAAAATAATTATTAGACCTCGTAAATTAAACCACGCCGCCCATGCCATACAAAGAAGTGTCGAAGTTCGGTAACTATTTAGTTTTTATGCCATTCGAATTGGCTTCGTATATTCTATAACAGTCCAACACCGAAGCCATAGAAAGAAAGTGGTAATCTAGTAACATGCCCTCATTTCAAGAAAATAAATGAGAAAATTCCAATGAAATTATCCCTATTCATAAGTTTTCGTTGCCTATTCAGTCTGAAAAAGTTTTAATACTATCAAAGAGCCGAGACTAAAGAATTTATTTTTAAATAAGCTTAAAACAATAACGAACGAAAAATACTAGTATTATTGTGAAAAAAGCGACGTGCGCTTGATATATAAAAATATGGCACAAAGCGCCCACGCTTTTTTCACAATAGTACTAGTATTTCTCGATCGTTATTGTTTCAAACTTATTAAAAAAATATTTTTAACTTCTTAGTTCGATGTTCTTTAAAAGCGTGTTTTTTAGTTTTTTCAAACTGTATTTATTTTCTTTTGAAAAACATTCAAGGAAGTTACGTACAGCACCATCTGCCGGCGAATAGATCAAGAAATATCAAGGAGGTTACGTACAGCGCCATCTGCCGGCGAATAGATCAAGAAATATCAAGGAGGTTAAGTACAGCGCCATCTGCCGGCGAATAGATCAAGCAATAATTGCGATAATTCTGTTAATACAGATCCCAGGCTTGAGAGTTATAAACAAACAAACATACATACATACATACAGGTGAAGCTAATATAAAGCATGTAAAAAGATATTAGTGTGGCATCACTCATCGCCGAGAGTGCGCTCCAACTGTTTTTTCAATGGAAAAGGGGGTCTTGTGATACCTCGTTCAATAGATTTTTAAATTCTCGATCTAACAATGTTTTACTTTCGGAAATTGGTTCAACCGATCCGAAGTAATTAGTAGTTATACCTTCGTTTGAAGCACCTCCAAACAAACGATAAATATAACAATTGCAAGAGAAAATTCATTCATAACTCATGTGCAAAATGTTCACCATTCACTTCGTTAATGATGAAGCCTGTTCACAAATTTATTTTTTGGGTAATTAAATTGGGTAATTAAATTTCGACGAGTTCTAAAATGAACTGTGGTTGTATATTGCATACTTCTGATGTTATATATTCCCTCAAAAATATCTATAGGCGCCATATCAGGTGATCTAGTGGACCATTTTGAAGGACCACGCCTGTTCATATAACGGTTAGAAAGTTTGACAAACTCAAATTAGTTTATCAGTTGCTTTGAAAGTGTCTCTCTAAAAATCATCCAAACCGGTTGATAGGCAAATGTGGTCTCTTAGAAAGGGGCGGGTTGGCTCTCCTTGTTCTCTTTCACTGCCTGAATCACTGAGCATGATGATTTTGGCCAGTGCATTGGCTTGGGATGTGGCGGTTGAGCAAACCGGCCATCGGATGTCTGCTCCCACGTAGCCCCGCTGGAAACGGGAATGACAGAATCGCTTGTGGTTCTGTTTTTCCATAACTGAATGGCATCTCAACGATGGCTTAATCCTAAGGTGTGTGTATCCGTGCCGAGAGGATGAATGACACTGAGCCTATCAGCTGTCTCTACGGAATCTTCGAGATACCGGGCGCCCTCTCGTCGTAGCATCGCCTTGTCACGGTAATGCGGGGCTCTGCCCAGATTGACCTTCCTTCCCTAGCTACTCGTTGGACTTTTATGGACAGAGTAAACTTGAAAATTATTTCTGACGCTGTCTACAGAGGAGATGGATGTTGAGCTTTCGACTCCAACTGACCTCCCTGTAAATTTAGATCAGGAGCGAGAGCTTCTCAACTCTCCAACTCCTGATTCAACAACTGAACCTTAAAAAAAAAGTTTGGTGGTGCAGCCAGGAAACGATTGAGTCGTCTCCTCAAGAGCGGGGTACCTTATGAAACCGCCTTGCACCAAATTCTTGAGCGGCGTACGCAGAATCTGTCTCAGGTGGAGGAACAAACCCTCCATGAGCAGGTTAGCAAACGTTTGCGCTCAAGTGATGATTCATCCAAACCAGACGCGAAAAAGCCCTGCACTGTTGAATCTAAGGCATCGTCAGGTGTAGTTGACGTGCAAAAAACCCTCATATGGTAAGGTTGTCGCGGGTATCAGGGTGGGAATCTTGCACCTTGACCATCCGACTACCTCATTAACGATGAAACAGCAGAGCATATACTTTGTGCCTGCCCCGCTGGGGACCGAATCAGGTTTTTAGAGATCGGCAAAGCCGTACTCTTACCATCTGACCTGAAAGACCAATCACCATATAGACAAATCGGCTTCGTTAAGAAGCCTTAATATATTTGAGATATTATGAATGCATTTCCTTGAATTTTTTTGAAACTTACTATCTTTATAGTTTGTTTGCAGGTACACAAAACGAATTTATAACTGCTGAATACTTTTGAACGGCTGAACTGATTTCCGAAAGTAAAACAGTCTTGTATCGAGAATAAAATTATCTATTGAACAACGCATCATTTTCCATTTGGAAGAAAAGGTGAGACCGCCCTTTCAGCGATTAGCGATGTAACACTTATGTCTCTTTCATCAAAAAGTAGTAAAAATAAAGCCTGTTTACGTTAATTTTGTCCGTCCTTGATAACTTGTTCCGTTCAAAAGTCGGGATGGGGGGGGGGGGCATTTACTTCCGCACTGTAGATTGTATAGTCGAAGTAACCGATATAGTAATCTTAAAGGTGTCGGCGAAGTCAAAGGCCAAAAAAACCAATACAAAGGAATTATGCCGCAACGAATTAGTCCACGTTGACTGAAGAATTGGCGGTTCGTATTGGATAATTTTTACTAACCGAGTTTTATGATTGGCTGAAGAGTCATAAAATTAAATTTGAAGTCATGTTACGGTGACCAACAGAATGTAGCGATGAGTACCGCGTTGTTTGTGTTATTAAAGGGGAACTGCTGGAAGGAAGGGGGCACTATATCTTTTAATTGAACTATACATTGTACGTCAGTCTGAAATATGCTAGAAATGCCAGAAATGCAAATGAATTGCAAATTGGGATGTTAGTCTTAGGAGTAACTTGCTCAAGTAAAAATGGCATCACGTTTTTAATAATAAAATTCATCAGAGGTGTCAAAAAGCTCTTCTACTTGCTCAGAAAAAGAAGATACCAGTCAAAGACTGCCGGGCAATTACTTCTGTAACCAGAATCAGAGATACAATTACTCACTATTACTGGGAAAATATCTGATTATGACAATATCACCACCTGAACCTGATATGAAACGGTTTTTACACATTTATTGCATGCATATCAGAATTGCCGCAAAAGCGCGATAATACAACTAACTAGACGGGAATCCGATGACGTTATTACTATTTGAGGAAAGTGCTTACTATATGAGATAAAAACGAAATAATATATCCATTATATAGTGTGATTGAATATACTTCAATTTTTATTTTCAGAAATAATCCCCAAGATGAGCGTTTTCGGAATGGTGTCAGCCGTAGCGGGCTTCGTGAAAGTCCGCTACCTTGTAGACAAAGCCCTAATAGACAACATGGTGTTCAGGGCCCACTACAGAATAACTTCTGCCATTCTTTTTCTGTGCTGCATCATCGTCACGGCCAATAACTTGATAGGTGAGACATGTTTGTACTACCAGGGAAAAGTATCACTATTTTCATTCGAGTTTGAATGCCTTTTTGGATTTTTTCCTGACGTTTCGCTGGCGCGAGAAATCTCGGAGATGAACTCAAGATGTATGAACCTCTGAAGAAGTTAGCCACTCACGCCAGCGAAACGTCAGGAAGAAATTTCAAAAATCGACGGCCTTCAGATTTGATTAAAATTAGTGACACTGAAAACCTCGACCGCGAAAGCCTCAACCATCTTCTACTAGGAAATACTTGAATTGGACTATTAAAACTAATTGAAAGAAAGATTGAGACTGTGGAATAGGTCATTTATAGAGTTCAGAACATGATTCGATGACTATGGTATAGGGGTTGATTCATATAGATAGATAGATATGTGGAAGTTTATTGATCAGACACCAATTCAACATTGGATTGACAAGTCAAAATACTATAGTTACATTTTGCTATAGAATTAAAATCGTCAACAGGACCCTGACACCACATCATGAAATCCTTTATATCACAGAATGTATTCAGGAGCAGAAAAAAATTCAGTTTAGATTTGAATCTGAACAGGTTCGACTTGTTGTTTCACCATGTAGTAATTGGAGCCACATCGACCAATGAAATCAATACCATATAATCATGTTTTGTTCACAACTGCCAATTGCCTATATCGTTTATTAGCCTTGAGTGGATTCCCCTTGGCAAACTATAAAATATTAATTTTTTTGCTCCTTCTGACGCCGCGTCGTTTATTGGACTAATAATCACTTTAAATAGCTTTCACTATTGATTTTTTTCTTCAAGATATATTATAGTTTTGGGTGTTTTATGTTATCTGAATAGTTCCAATCAAGTGTTCAAAAGCTCATTTCACTTCGAATGTATACCATTTCTCTACAGTTATGATTGCAACTGAATCACAGGCAAACATTTTAAAGTATTTGATAGTATATTTGGAACCTCTAGCGTAAATGAAAACATTTTTTCCACACCGGAACAAAAATACTGTCTTTCGACATAAAAAATAACTAGTCATCTGCTTGTTTGAAGGTCGTTGACAATGTTTCATGGAGCATTTCATCAGTTCGAATTTCTATTGACTAATATGATATAAATTGATTTGAAATCCGTGAAAGAATCTAAAAACAAATAAAAAGATTAGCTGAAAAATAACAATTATAGTGAGCAAAAAAAAAGAAATTACAATGAAATAAAATACAAGCAGTCATCAACCGAAAGCGATTGTGAATACTAATAATCGAAACATCAAGCTACATTGGAATATTTGAGCCGATAATCGTAATTTAGCCAAAATTGAAATCTACGCTGATGAGTATCATCATTGACTTCCCTTATCTGTCAAAATTCTCGTGTTGATTTTTTAAAGGTTGTTCATGAGGTGCACTTTATAAACAGTAATTTCATCACTTTCTTCAATTTGAAACTTGTTCTAATTTGGAATACTAGAAAAAAAATCCACATCCAAAATAATCAAACCGTATCATTCTATTGGATACAACCAATTTTCTTCAAGGTAGTGTTCATGGATGCTTGACCGATTTTGCCTAATAGAATCTTGAACGTGTTTATAATAGAGGTTGCTATTGAATTATTTTATCGATTAATTTTCAATTTAAATCAAAAGTTTCAGGTAGTACTTTATATCTGTTAGAAATGATCAGTAGATTTGACAAAAGACAATGTTCATGACTTCCACAAAATGTGTTTTTTGTTACTGAACTAACCTAGTATACAAAAATTACGTTACAAACCACATCTGTAAATATCTGTTTCATGTGAGAATATTCTGATCATTTCAAACAACTTTCAATGCAATTTACAATTCAATTAATAATTGTTGACAATTTTGTTGAAGCTACATCTGTTGAAATAATTGCGATTTATTCAGTCTGTTGCCAAATCACCATGGACGAAGATAAACATTCAACAGCACGTGCAAATAATGGTTGTTCTGCAAAATGATTGTTCTGTTGGGGCAACGTACGCTTTCCTCATTTTACAGTCGCCATAATCGTGCTATCGTGAAGACTATTCGCAATGTGGTGGATAAATTTGAATTTACTAACACTCGACGAAACACAAAATCTGCCGAAAACATTGCCGCTGAATTTGACAGCGTGCAGGAGAATCCGAGGCGGTCGATTTATTGTCGCTCACAAGAACTCGGCCTTTCGCAGACTAAGTGACAAATTTTGCTTCGTGACTTGGGTCTGCAACCGTACAAAATTCAACTGATCCGGGAACTGAAGGTAAACAACCATAGTCAACGACGTGCGTTTGCTGAATGGGATCTGAAGCAGCTGGCAACTGACCCTAATTTTCATCTATTTCTGAAATCCATGAGCGTCCAATGCATCCCAAAAAATTATCTTTTGATGTAGATTTTGGGCTGGCGGTGTAATTGGACCGTCCATATATATATATGGCCAGGCCATCAGTGTCAACGGCGAGCACTATAGGTCGATGATTACAACACCAACGACATGTGGTTTCAATGGACGGCGTTTTGCATATTCTGCACGAGAACATGGTGGGGTTTTCTCGAGTCGCAGTTGTATGCGAATGAGCCACAAATTCAGCCTGATTTATGCGCCAGAGAAGCCGTGGCAGACATTTGAAAGATGTTATATTCCACACATAATGGCATCAGTCTATGAAAAACTCACACACACTTTGTTTTATTTAAATTTAGATAGGAAATGTCAATTTTATTTGAATATAAATGCTCCCAAGTTCGTTTTGAGATGTTCATAAAAAATTAATGAAAAACATTATGGCAGGGTTCAATTTCAATAAATTTTTTTGTGAATGTATTTTATTGGACAGTAATACATGACATTGTGTTTTGACAAGTCATTGACTACACCTAATCCTAAATCTAAATAAAATTTGTGTTTGATTAAAATATACGTATTGGATTTCACAATAATTATTATACATTTTCACGACACTGTTTTTTGGATTCCAAATTTCGAAATTTATAAAATTTATTTACATGTATGTTGAACTTACAATTTTCCTCCTACCTTCCTTATTTTTCATAGGAACACAAGAAAAATATTACGTCATTTCTGTAGTCAATTTCAAGGATTCTTGACTAATTGTTTTTTGTTGTTTCTACTAGGTGACCCAATTCAGTGTATAAACGATAGGGGAGTCCCCGGCCACGTGATCAACACTTTTTGTTGGATTACCTACACCTTCACGTTGCCACATGAACATGGTAAACAAATAGGCATGGAAGTTGCCCACCCTGGTCTCGGAAATGAGAATCAAGAAAAGATATACCACAGCTATTATCAATGGGTTCCATTTGTTCTCTTCTTTCAAGTAAGTTAATACGAACGGAATGCTGTATTATTAACTATCAGTTTTAAAAAAATTCTTTAGTCAGTTGTCAAATGAGTTTTGAAAATATATAGGCATTCAAGATTTTCATATACTGTACTTGCTAAACTATACCCATCCAACAAACAAAGTAACCCAAACAAAGATAGATGCATGATCAAAACATAATCACCACGCACATTTGCATCTATTGGTTAAAATAAACAAGCCTTCTTACGCTGGCCAATCAGATTGAACTGCAATCGGCTGGCGGAAATCTTGTTACACTGTCGGAGTAGTCAGTTACGTTTTAATGCTTGTGGTGTGTACATATACGGTATTTTAAAGTTTAAAACTTTCAAAATGTCGAGTACTGATACGGCTGAAGAAACTGTTTATTTGTGTCCCTACCCTCCGCCTAAAAAATTTTCTTATGACCAGCCGCATATTGATAAAAAAATGGTTCGTTACTTAGTGCGACTCTGCAGAAGTAGCCTTGTCTGGGAGATCACGTGCACTATGCATAATGTTTTGGAGCAAACTGTTTCTTAGATGAACAGAGTATAGACTTGTATGCCAAAATGTAATAACGAAATCACCATCTTTTGCAGGGAGTTTTGTTCTATCTTCCACATTGGATCTGGAAGAACTGGGAACAAGGCAAGGTAAGGATGATCACCGATGGTATACGAGGATCTATGATAGGAGTAGGAGAGAAAGCTGAACGGGAGCACAGACAGAATCGCTTGGTACAATACTTGATTGAAACTATGCACCTGCACAATTCTTACGCTTTCGGATATTTCGTATGTGAAGCCTTGAATTTCATCAATGTTGTGAGTATTACACTTTTATAAAATATTATATGTTTTCAATTATAGAGACGAGTTTTTGAAAAAGAAGGCTGAATGTTTGAACTTTTCTTCGCTGTTATATTTTCAACTGTTTATATAATTTTCAATTTCTATTCACTTTCATTTCATTGCAAGCTATCTTTTGAACCCAGGTTTGTGTTTAATAAACCCTACAAAATACAAATAAAACAGCACAAAGTTAGATGCTACAAATGCAATACGCATATATACAGACAGCTCAAAAACCAAAGAAGGCTCAGGATGTGGAATGTACTCCAGATTCCAGATCAGTAAGTCTAAGGATTAAGTGGGTAATGGAATCAAATACCAGCGTGGTTCAAACAGAACTGGCTGGTATCTCAATCGCCACAAAAGAAATAACCAGGAAAAAAACTCTGGTCATTTGACAACTAAGGAAACACATCCACGATATGGGGCTTGTGGACACACCTCTATGCAGGATGTGCGAACAAGAAGATAAAACTGTCAGGCATGTCCTATGCGAATGTCCCGAGTTATTGGTCAATTAGAGAGTGTGTGTTTGGCGAGTCTTGGCCTACACCTGCCGATATAATGGAGATGTCTCCCAGATACCTGCCCACCTTCCTGGAAAGGACAGGAAGGACAATAACCTAGGAGGACAACCCCTTGGGAGGATGTACGATGAGTCACATGTGGCCTAAATACTGTGGACCTACACTCACCCTCCCTACTCTACAGACACAGAAGCTATGTTCTTGAATATAAAAAAAGTTCTGGAAAAATTTTAGGTACGAAGTCTGAACTGAAATATAAAATGCTAAATAATTTTCAATACATCATCGAAGTGAAAAATGTAGAAAATTGTGATTTTTCCTGATGGTCAATCATTTTCATCAAAACCTCTCCAACATCTAATTATGACTGCACTTCTTTCTTACATGAGATGATACCTAAGTAGCTATTTTTCTCATTTGGTATTCTCCTTCACAAAAAGGTATACTAATCACATTCTTTAAGTTCTGATTCGCTGTGCAAAATATATTTTAGGTTAGTCGTAAAATGTATTTTTGAAGAAAATTTTATTCAGTGTCAACTTTGTCGATTGTTTTTGATATTCCTAATAGACACTCATTTTTTTGAACTTGTATTTGCGATATTCAGATCGTAAGAAAAAAGGTTTGAATCCACTAACATGTATGAATTCATAAAATTATACGGTGGAACGCTGGAAATTGCTCATATTCACTCAACTATTTTTTTCTTTCAGATTGTGAACATATTCATGACTGATAAATTCCTTGGTGGTGCTTTCATGACATACGGTACAGATGTTGTATCTTTCTCCAACATGAACCAGGAAAATCGTACCGATCCTATGGTGGCAGTTTTTCCAAGAGTGACCAAGTGTACCTTCCATAAATTCGGTCCATCAGGTTCAATCCAAAAACATGATGCTCTATGTGTGTTGGCTCTCAACATTCTCAATGAAAAGATCTACATTTTCCTCTGGTTTTGGTTCATCATTCTAGCCATTCTTTCTGGCTTGGCAATTGTCTATTCTGCTGCCGTGGTGATGTTACCAAGCACCAGGGAGACGATCTTGAAAAGGAGATTCAGATTTGGAGCACCAAATGCCGTCGAAACCATTATCAGAAAAACACAGGTAAACTCTTTTTGTAAACAAATTTATTTGACGGAGAAACATTTGTAAAGGTGTTAATTTTTCTGTTCGATTTGCAATAGCGATTACCTTATAACCGAATAACGAATTTATTCTTCTGTCACCAAATTCTATAGATATTTCTTTCAATATTAATTTTTAAATCTGGAAGATTTACTATTCAACTGATTCACTATATTATTACAGGTTGGAGACTTTCTTTTACTTCATTTGTTGGGTCAAAATACTAATCAATTGGTATTTGGTGAAGTTATGGATGAACTCGTGAGGAGACTGAATTTCGGTAGCAACAGTAATCTGCCATCTGCTCCAAGTACATTAGAAATGAGTCCTATCTACCCCGAAATAGAGAAGTTTAAAGAAACAGAAGCATAATTTTATATATTGGAGACAGTTCAGTAACTATACAACGAAAGTTGATGAAATGTATTTGACTCATTTTTATTTAGATGTAGGCGTAACATGTAATTTTTATTTTTTAAATAGAAGTAGAAACTTTGATAGCTGAGCCACATAATCCTATACTACTTATAAATGTGATCAGTTTTTTTATGATAAAAGAACAAATGACAATTTTTTAGGGACCAAATAGTTTTTATAAATGTATTTTAATTCTTAGGGACTGTAGGTAAGACTGTTGAAATTATTCAAGTAATTTTTGTAAGACATTCTCGAAAACAAGTGCCTTAAATAAAGAAACTATTTCATAATAAAGCGTCATGATTATTTTAATAATTGAACCTTCTTTGTACAGGTAAGATTGAAAAACAAAAATTAAGTAGTACACTCACCGATTTCCCCAATCAATTTTCTGGATGATTTTCAATTTGAGTTCCCATGTTTGGTCATGCGTTAGCGTTCCAGAAACGAGCTGCCTTCTCCATTCTAGAAGATCTCTCATAACCTTGCCTACAGTTTCGAATTTGTATGTGTTCCTTTCCTGAAAACAATATAGAAACGTCTTATTACTTAAAGATCTTTGGTTGAGATATTTCTTTCAAATCAAATCAAATCAGTTTATTCATTCAAAGGACCCATTAGGGTATAGAACATGTCAGGATATAATGTCTTAGTAAATACTACATACATAACTACAAGACAACAAAAGGAACATCGATATAAGTTATTTGCTTAAAAAGTTACAATAAAAATTCATCAATTCTATAAAATAGATTTTCTTGCAGAAAGCGTTTTATGGAGTTTCAAAATTTGAAGTGTGTAGGCTGAGTTTAAATGCCAGTGGATAATTTATTGTAAATTCTCACACCTGTTGAAAGTGGTCCATTTGATGTTATTTGGATAGATGAGCTGATTATTTCTGGTTTGGTAGACATGTATGCAAAGGGAATTTCATCTGGACCGGTAGACATTTTATTTTTCAGTTTTGATACAATATGTAACATTTCATCTTCAGTAAATGGCATCAAAGCAATAGAGTTTGTGTTGCTTTTCCCAAGAAGAAAACAACAAAGAGAGATAAAAAGCTTCATTTCATTTCATTTATTCATTAAAAATAAGCCATGACATAGGGAAGTGGATTAGTGTCGTCAAATCATACATACATACAAGTCACGAAAAAGTACAATGAAAGGATTTGTACAATCACGAAAAAATCTTTAGAGAAAAAAAATAAGTAGAAAAATATAAGAAATTTACAGCAATAGTAGCTTTCATCGACGTTCTAAGAAGCTTATAAATTCGTCGAGGTTATAGAAGCAATTTTCTATTAGGCACGATTTCAGCTCGTTTAAATATTTTAGTGGAGGCGCTAGATATATCAGAAGATCAAATCAAATCAAATATGCTTTATTATCCAAAGTATAAACTCGTTGACAAAGCTAATCATGTATAAATGCGTTTCACTATAATAACTATACATTTTACATATACATTGGTTTAATGTATGTGTCATACTGAAATATGGTTACGATTTTTAGTGCACAGCTAAAACAATTATAAATAAATAAATGAATATGCATATATAAACGCACATTAATACCACACACATACATATTTATATACATCCAAAATGAACGAATAGTCAGACATTAACAGGTAAATAAGGAAGTCAATAGATAAAATATATAAATAAATAAAATAAACAGACACTGTTTTCAAAATTGCAGGAGCTATTAAAATCAACATAAGCAGTGCTTGAACAGGGAATAATTTTATTTCAGAATTCCATACATATCTTTATCAAAGTATTCTTGAACACTATAAAACACCTGGTCAATGAGAACTTGGTTTACAGATTTCCTGAACTGATAAGGTGATTGGCTATCTTTGAAACTGGTCGGTAGATGGTTATATATTTTAGCTGCATTATAGATCAATGAGTTTTTAATCAAATTTAATGATGGAATAGGCAGTCTTAATTTGTCGCTTTGGCGAGTGAAACCAATAACAACATCGTAAGATGATTTGTTCTTATGATATAGGCGCACAGTTTCGAGTATGAATAAAGAAGAAAGTGTTAGTAATTTCTGCTTCTTGAACAAGGGTTTACAAGACTCTCTAGGCCCAACTTTGCACAGATATCTGATGGATCGCTCCTGGAGAATGAAGACTGTATTGAAGTGTTGTTGGCTGCAGGTGCCCCAGAATAATATGCCATATCTTAGATGCAATTCAACCACAGCGTGGTACACAATTTTTGCAGTTACAATACCCAATTCATTTGACACCGTTCGTAAAGCATAACATCCCGAAGCTATTTTTTTGCTCAGCAAATTAATATGGTTATTGAAATTGAGGTTGCTGTCCAGATTGATTCCAAGAAATTTATTTAGTTTTTTGTTTGATATAATATCATTNTTCTTCTACATTCAATAATGCAGCCACTATAATGACGGCTTCTTCGTCAGAACTGCTAGTGATAGAGATGTTTCCATCACCGCTCGATCTGAAGTGAAATTCTCTTGAAATCGAAAAAACAGCGCCTTCAGTATGCTGGCTGTAGCTGCGGGCGATGCTACTGCCCGTCGCTATCAGGCGACGGACAGCGCCGTGCGGTGCCGGACAAGTGAGCGACTAGCTTAACACTATCGTTAAATGCTTGGTCAATTTTTCGGGCTATTTCGGCAGCGCTTTGGTTCAATTTGAAATTGTTTAGAAAAATTGGCCTAAAAACGCTTAACGACATCATAATTAAGCTGAAAAGAGGCAAAAAATTAAAATTTGGAAAAAAAGTACAGCGTCAATGTATAAAATTCTCTATCGTTCAGCATACACTACGACATAGTAGAATTAATTTTATTGAGATGGAGATGGATGCAGGAACAAAAACACATTTCATTAAGTCGGACTAAACGTTTGAAACCTAATAATTTCGTCCCTCTGATGACGCCCAGTAAACTGTATGCATGATGTTTTATTCAAATTGACCAATAAATGATTTCTTCAACACAATGTAGAACTTAGATAATTGCTCTAAGAACAAATTTGCCGTGTTTTGTGTTCATCAATTGACTTGATCCGGAGGTTCTCAAACTGTGGGGTGCGACCCCCAGGGGCGAAGCTTTTTGAGGGGGGGCGTGAGAAAGTGAAAAAATTAAAAAACCAACTTTTTTGAAAACATATGAATTATAAGACAACTACTCGAATATGTTTTTCCATAGTCATCAAAAAGACAAGATTTTTGTGTAAAAACGGTGAAACTCTTTATTTCAATTTAGTGACCTCTATGTTCAAGGAGCAAGAGGCTAGCGCCGGTAGCGCTTGCAACGGATTGTACGATAAACGGCGCTTGACACTTCTAAACAAAAACTTTGAGGTTATGTTCGGTGCCTTGTATAACACAAGCGTATTCTGTTCGTTGTGAAGTTTTAGATTGCTCTAAATTCACTTCGTTTTATTAATACGTTTAAGAATGAATTAAACAGTTCATCTCAGGATGACATCAGTGGTGGGACAACTCATGAGTCAACTGCAAGTACTTCGAAGTCAGTGCGGGATTCAAAAAGAAGAAAGTATGACAACAGTGATTTGTCACTAGGATTTACTAAAACTATAAGTAACAATGAAGATAGGCCTCAATGTGCAGTGTGCTTGGCAACCTTAGCAGCCGATAGTATAAAACCTAACAAGTTAAGGAGGCATTTAAAAACTGAACATGCAGATCTAGTCAATAAACTTGAAGAATTTTTTGTACGCAAGCTAGATAGCTTTAAATTTACTCAAAAAACATCAACAAAAATGACGACTGTGCCTTCCAAAGCTCTCATGACGTCTTTCAAGGTTTCTCATAAAATGCTAAATGTAAAAAGCCACACACAATAGGAGAATCTCTCATCTTACCAGCCGCTGTTGATATAGTTGCCACAATGTTCGGAAATAGCTCTGCACAGCTACTAAAATCCATCCCTCTTTCTAACGACACTGTGTCTGAAGATGTGATTGCCCTTCAAGTTGATGAAGCAACTGATAAACACAGAGATGCCCACTTATTAGCTTATGTCAGGTTTATTGACTACACAGACATTCGAGAAGAAACGCTTTTTGTGATGAATTCCCCACCAACACTACAAAATTATATTCAATGAGAAATGAGAAATAAAAGGGACTTCAAAAAAGAAACGCCAACATCCTTGCTTGGAGTGAAAAAGAACAAGGATTTTTGGGAAAGAAAGTTTTTGACTTTCTTATTTATGGTAACTTATTTTCAAATTGATTACTTCCTTCCTTATTATTAAGTAACTTGTTTTCAAATTGATTACTTTCTTCCTTTCTTTGGAAGATTCCCTCATCCTTTTTTTGTATCAAGATGGAGTAGTAGAAAGCCAAAAACTTTCTTTACCAAAAATTATCACTCCTAAAAATATAACCCCTCCAATTCATACAAGGATTTATTAGGAAGTTGACCAATACTTTTCTTAAGGAGGCTAAAGATTTAGCAAAAAAATGGAATGTGTCAACTGTTTTTATAAATAAAACAAGAAAAATAACGAAGCGGTTTTTTGACGAGTTGTCACAAGATGAGAGAATTTCAGACCCGGAATCTTATTTCAAAGTCAATGTTTACTATTGCTGTTTAGATATATTATTTTCACAAACTAAACAAAGATTTCAGAGCCTTTGCAAACCTGAGTAGCATGTTCGAAAATATTACAACCGCAGAAACTTCTGTCTTCCTCAAACGAAGAGTTATTAAACGCTTCCGGAAAACTGTCTGCTAAATACAGTAATGACATCTCAGTTAACTTTTATGACCAATTAAAGACTCTTAGAACATGCTTAAAATCAGAAATCAAAAAAATTCACTCTGGGACAGGAACGTCTCTCAGACCTGTCACTAGTGTCTACAGAGGCAGAAACTTTAGAAAAACTTGAGTCATCATCAAATATAAATGATTTAATGAATCAGTTTGCTGAAAAAAAGGCAAGGGAAACTGACCATTTGATTTGAATTGTTTCTTATGTTTTTGTTAAATAGTGATACATAGGTATAATAAGCTAGATGACTACTTTTTTTCATTACCAAAATTTAAAGCTATATTGCATAGCAAAAATGAGACAGTATTTTTTTTAATATCTTTAAAGATAACGAAGATATGGACGTTTTAAATCACTGTTAGAAAGAGACTGCTATTATTAGAGTGATGACGTCACTATCATATAAATCCATATAAATCTTGTGCGCTTTTCAATTGTTTTCGTTTTGTATGTTGTAT